CTACTTAGTTATCTTACATGTATGTAATTTTACCTCCTATTCACCAAATATAATTCACGTTCTTGAAGGGCCAAAATCCCTACCTGATAATTCTATCTTAAAAGATCCAAATAATGTAGTTGAGTCAATTAAAGCTTTTTGATTAACCTTAAAAAACTTACCATTAAACCATTACATAAACCCACTTCATTAGTTAAATGATGATCACAAGGAGGAAAGAAATCAATCTCTGGTTAAAATATATTTGAAGTCACCTATGATCATACTATATATAAAAATATATGTCTTTTTCCACACACTAAAGCACACAGATGCTCACCTTTCATTTTTTAAACTGAATGAGCAAAAAACCAGTCAGTACAATTTTCCAGCAAGTCTCCAAGTCCTGATGCAATAATTTCTAGCAATGTTAGCTTTTGTTGCATCTGTATAGGGCTCATTATCCCCATACCCCCGCAGATGGTGTCAGAGAGGTGAAGTGTCAAATCCACCAAAGGGGAGACCCTAGCAACTCGTAGCTACTGCAGTATCAATCACTGCTGGTAGTTTTTACTTTTATCTCCCTCCCTCCTTACTTGTCCCCACTCACACTGTCAGTTCAGTTAGAATATTTCACCTACACCTCACAATATGTCGAAAGGAAGTAGACACACGCTGTGAAAAGCTGGTAATTTTATTGGGTTCCTTTACCTTTAAAAATCTGTTACTTGGTCAAGTCTGGTTTCTGGGTTTCTTTTTTGCAGGGAAATTGAGGCAAACATTTTTATGTGGTCCTCTGGTGCCTGCTCTGTACTACAAGAATTATATACACTAGGATCATTAGGGTAGTGTTTTGCCCATTAAGATATAACAACCGTCAGCAGGGACAAAAAGCAGATAGGTATCACAAATTCAAACTAACAGGCACACATAAAATCTATGTGCCTGCTGTAGGCACAGGCACAAGGTCAGGTCTCCCACAACAGGTAAACTCCATCCCCATTTTAGGCAGGCATGGCACCACTGAGCTACATGCCTGGCTCCTCCTCCATTTCAGAGGCAGCTTTTCATAAGCCATGGAGGAAGGACACTCAGGAATTCTCTCAGCCCTGGAGCCACTTTTTAACCCGAGCACTTTTCTATCTCCAAATGTACCAGGTCTGAATAAACAAACCATGCGCTTGCCCTTTGCAGGATTTCTAATTAGAAACAAGCAAAGTAAACAAGTAGAGTCACTTAGGGAGTGTTCTTTTTGACTAAAGGCGCATCTGTGGGCAAGGATCATAGTTGTCAGGGGTGTGGGTCTTAGTCTTACGATATTAGATTTGTCAAGGGAAATTTGATCACTCAGTGTGTGGAAGACATCACAGATCAGGGCAGGTTGGCTCACCCGACTCTGGATGAAGTCAGTTTTAAGACTAATTCTAATGCAGTCCACATTACTCCTCACTGTATTTCACTAAGTAGGTAGCATGACTGCTTTGTAAAGCAGGGGTACTAATTGTTTACAAATGGATTAAACCTATTTTCAGCCTGGGAAACCAAACGCACATTTGACAGGCTTATTTGACCCCTATTAATGAAAATTATTTTGCTGTATTAACTTCCAATTAGCCAACATAAAGCAGTTTGCTTTACAAAATTACTGATATTTAGGGTAATTGGTAAAGAAACAAGAACAGAATGAGGAAAGTGATATGGAAGGACTGGGTCTTTTAAAGTTCCCATATAACCTACCTCACAAAACTCCAACAAACCTACTCTCCTGATCTCTACCAAGGAAAGGAAAGGGCACACAAGAGCGGAAGATGGTAGTGGAGGGATCTGAGAGCTACATAGGAGAGGGCAGGGACATCTTCCTATGGTTTCACTTTCCAATAGTGAGGGTATTGCTGGGAGGGAAGAGCAGGTCCACCATAAAACTGCACAAAGTGAAAGGAAGAGAAGAACACAGAACATGGCAGAAGCATAGAAAGGAAGGGAAGGAGAGCACACAGGACCTGCTCACGGCAGTGGTCGTAACACCCCTGGAATCCTTCCATAATATGCCTTGATTCCTCAACTGGCCACATGTTCTACCTCCGACTGGTACCAGGCAGGTCTGAGCAGACAATGGAAAGGATCCCAATGAAATGCCTGAGGGCACCCACTAAGAAAGAAAGTGGAATTTCTGTCCACCAGATTAGAGGCTGGGGGCAGTGGGTAGACTTTGCTGGAATCAATAGTGAACAACTAGCAATTATCCCATGGTACCTCCTGTGCTGGGCATTGTTCTAAGTGGGTCATATCTGATCCTATAAGGGGTGCCGCTGCTGTCCATTGCTTCATAGATAACCAGAGGCAGGAAGTCAGGTAGCTTGATTTTCCAAGCTCAATTTTGCAATTACCAAGCATCCTCTGTGGCAGTGGGAATTTACTTTACCAAGACTGTACATCTTTCAGTCTTTATAGGTGAGAGGCAATAGATAACCACTCCACCTAAAAATTTTATTCCTTAAAAAAAAGAAATCAATGACTCAACCAAAGGACCAAATAACCACAGAAGTCTAGAAAGAAACCTTGGTTTCTAAATGGCATCACAAGCTTTTTACAGTAATCAACAATCTCTGGATGGGAACCACATATGGCCTGTGCTTTGAAAGGTCTAGTTTCATATAATATACACTCATAGTTTTACTTTTATTTAATTAATATTAATATTAGTTCTGATATGCTATTTCAATTTATGTGATAAAATAACCAAATTTCAATCTTTTGTTAACTATGCGCAGTTATCCAAAGTAATTCATATAGAAGCTGAGGTACCTGGAACCTGAAAATGCCTATCTTAAATAAAAAAAATAAAAAACAAATAAAATCTGCAAAAACAGAAACTTTAATTTTCTTCAAAAAATGGTAATAATTTAAATTTTATCCTGCACGATAAAACTGACTAAAAAGTGAGGAAATACACACACAGAAACACAAACAAAAGTTGCAAAACACAAAAAGAATAAGAAATATAGTTTCTATTCTTATCTACATTACAAATGCCTATCAGGGTGTCATGCTAGCTAGCGCAACTCTTAATTCGGACTTCAGTGGAATAAGAGGTGCACATTAAAGATAGTAAATAGAAGCCAGCTCGGAGGTGGAAAAAAGGACGATTACAAAAGGGACACTTAACTATCCTATTCTAAAACTTCACAATCATTTAATCTTATAAAGCAAAAATCCTAATTCTTACCCAAGTACAGGCATGTACTGTGCCTGAAGGTGCCTACGGTTTCATTTCATAGATACAATTAACATTGTCCATGGTTCAAACCTCAAAGAAGAACACAGAACTCAAAATTCACAAAACTTCCTCTCTGTCCCCTCTATCTTCCGGAGGGCAGTGGAATAAGAAACAGTTTGGGTTGCTGCCTCTGTTCTTCCATTAGTTCTGGTTCTTTTAAGCCAAAATTACATTCCAGCCAGATTGGATGGTCTCAGCCAGTTGCCCGAAGGTAAAGTACAAAGAAATGCTACCCTGTGCTTTCTGGACTCAGCTGTGCTAGTGAAGGAATACACAAGGGTTTAGAAAAGAGGTGGGCAGAGCCGCACCACTCAGGTGTTTTAGACTCAAGGAAGGGAAGGGAAGGTGGGAAAGAAAGTGTGAGAGCTACTAATTATAAATTTCATCTACCATGTTTTAGACACTGAGCTCTAGTGACATTTAATAAACCGACTAACCTGAACCCTTTGTGGAGGGGGTGAGACAGCACCTCACATCACGTCTCTTTCAGTGAGTGAGGTCCTCACTTCCTCTGCTTTCAACACATTAGGATTTTGGAGGGATTGATTGGATAAAGTATTTGTTTGTTTGTTTGTTTTAATTCTAAAATCCTGTTTAAACTAAACTTCACAAAATAATCAATTTTCCTCCAAAAATTCTTCAGAGAAATGCCAGAATGAAGATCCCCCAAAATAAGAAAAGGTAGACATCTTGATTGCTATAATGAACCCTTCATCAGTAACAGAACAAGGAAAATAACAGGGACACTCAAAGATTTGCAAAGAAGTTGAGCCCTGTAAACCGAATTTATAAGAACGTAGTTTGAAATGTGGGTTTAGGTTCAATATTGTCTGTAATGAGTCCCATCTTAATTGTATTTAGGCTAATGAGGATCTGAAACCATCGAAATTAGCAAGACATTTAAAAATATCATTAATAGCATTTTAAATCAGATTTTCCACTTTATAATGTGCATGCTAGTTATAGTCATGTACCATGAACATTTTAGAAAAATACACCTTCAGAAGCATGCCTTCTACTCCCCTTTGTACTAAATTCCTTTTGACAAAGGGCTCTTCTGGGCTACAGTGAGAGTTTCCTCAGGAAAGTCTTAAAGTCTTAATGGAGAATTTTAGATGCCTGCTCAAATTGATTATGTTTCAGACAACTTGCAAAAATTCTGACACAGACTTCTGGAAATGGTTAAGACAAAAACCCAAAGTCCAGAGGGCATTCTCAGATCTGGGCTTCACCCTAAGCACACAGTGAACTGGCATCCCTCACTCACGCAGTGACTTTCACACAGGAGGATCAGCTATGATGCAGTTGGATTCTTAAACAGAAATTCTAGACTAGTAGAACTAAGATGAAAAATGTATTATTTTGATGCTAGATTAAATATTATAAATATCAATTCTGAGCATACGGGAAATTACAAATGAATGCCAGGAGGTTTCTGGCACCTAGTCTGTTGCAATGCATAGGAAGGTTTATATGAAGAATGGTTAACAGCAATTTTCCATCTCCCTCGGGACAAGAATAAGAGGAAATCATGAACGTGGAATGAAAACACTAATTTGTAATCATGTAGGCAGCCACTGTGTCCACAGATGCCAAATGCTTTTACATGTAAGTCATCCCGTGCAGCAGATGGAAAACCACCAGTAAGTAATCACTCATTCCAAGTCTAACTTGAGCCAAATACAAGCTCTGTGGGTACTCTGGTCAGCCTGCTGACACCACGCTTCCTCCACAAGCAAGGTCTTTCCTTCTGTGATTCAGTACATGGACTTGGCTTCCTCCTGAAAGACGCCAAACACCAATATGGGTGGGGGGAAAAAGGTAAGATTCCTGTTTGAGGTATGTTGTATATCTGACCGTTCACTTACCACCAAGGTAGAGTATTCAGGTGTTCGCTGAATATGTTACGTGTCTGTGGCCATCTCACACTCAAATCTTCCAAAATGGGATTTATTTTTCTGCTTCAAGCTGCTTTGTTCTCTATATTTCCCGTTTCCACTTATTGTTACCATATACACATTCTTGCTAAAGCCAAGACCTAAGGTACGACCCAGATTTATTCTCCATCACTCCTTGCTGCTGTTGTGAACTGTAGCCGTGCTCTCTCCAAGGATCTCATGCATATAGTCTCCTCCTCCACATTTCTTTAAATGCAACCTTATTTCTGACCTTTATCTTTTATCATATGAACACTGACAACCCCTTTCTAACAAATTCATCCACCTTCAATTCTATTTCATTCTTTCAACAGGCACTGATGACCATTACCTGATATCAGATACAAATGTAACGTGCTGGGAATGCATCAGTGACCAATATTCCCCCTTACAGGTTATATTCTCATGGCAGATATAAAGGAAAGCATGAACAGATACACCAGTAAAATATTAAGTACTGTGGAAACAAAAGAATGAACTTAGGATGAGTTTTATGAGGGAAAGAGGAGGATATGAGGTGGCCTCTCTGAAGTGAGATTTAACATGAAACCTACAGTTTAAAAAAATAAAGGAATTAACCACACAGAGAGTGGGATGGAACAGCATTTCAGACAGAGGAAATGTGCTGTGCCGTTCATTCAGAATATCTGTGCATTCAAAGATAGGAAGGAAAGAAGGAACTTGGCCTTTAAAAGGAATCAAACAAGACCACTGTGGCTAGTTAGAGAGGAGCGGGAGGGGAAGCACACAGAACAAAGTGAAGTTATAGGCACAGGGCCAGAGCACGCAGGGCCTTTGAGGTCAGTCCTTCACAGAGCAGACTCAGATTTTACTGCATTCAAAGTCTGATCAGAGCACTATTCCCGTGGATTTCTTCTTTCTGTTACTGACATAGCAATGTGCAGTGTTCTTGTGAGACTGCCTGTGTTTCTAGCCTCAGACCCTGAAACTATCCACATTTGCATACAACCTATATCCTCCAGCAACACCCCTTTTTCCCATGTCCTGTTAATTCTCTTTCCTCAACTGGAGAAGCTCCTCCTGTGTGTGTGATTCCCCATCTAGTCTCTAAGACTCATTTTAAATTCTACAGAGAGACTCAACATATTTGTTGCTTCATAGACATATCTTTTGTAATCTTGGGATGCTCATATATCTCTCCCACCATCCTATGACCACCTGAAAATGTTAAGAGTGTGACCTTAAGTGCTAACAGTCAATAACTGAAAGCAGTCAGGCAGGTAGGTGGCTAGTTTTGCCCAAAGGAATAGAACACATGAAATTCTGATTCTATGTAGTCTATGGTTTATTTTTTAAAAATCAAGTTAAATTCAGCAGACACTTGAAAATATGACTTGAACTATTTATACAATAGGCTAATTAGTTGTAAGCAATGCTTAATGACCTGAGAACTTCCTAGGAAAGAAATGCAACATGATGTAATGTAAAAAAAAAATTGGCTCTGTTATTTGTTACCTAGCTGTTATTTGTGACCTTGAGGTATAAAGGGTCAAAATTTTGCTTCCTGAATGCGCACTGTTGCCAATGCTAACAAACCACAGAAAGACTCACCTTATAAACAAAGTTATTCTTTAAGAGTTGAATCTCTAAAAGCCAGATTATCAATCTGTAGGAAGTAATTGTGTATTGAAATAGTTAAAATTGCTATCAAGGTGACAAAGCTATATTCACAGCAAGACAAGATTGAAATAGCATTGCCATTTAGAAAAGTGGAATGCTTCAAGTTCTCCAGAATGCCTATAGGTACTTCTATTCCATTCCTACAACACAAATAACATATTTCAAGAATCAGGTATTTTGTTTCCACGGCTGTTTATGCCTGTTTCTTTGTATTCATGCTTCCATCCACTCTCATTTATTGTATGTTTGCTATACATGTGCTGTGATAGAGCCATGGAGATTAATTCTAGTGGGGAAAACATATAAAGAGATACATAATACAGACCAGACATAAATAGATACATAATAAAAAGTGGAAAGATGATAAATACATATAAAAATGTTAGTCATAACAAAGACATACACTGGTGTATTCTACGTGAATACACTAGAATTCTGGTTTATGCATCAGATTCCTGTGAGCTAGTAAAGTGCAAATTAATGCTTCTGGTCTTAATCAAGATGAATATATGATCAGAAAGCTGAAGAAGAGTCTCTGGGCTATGGTCATTTCACCAGTGCTGACAGGCTGTGAGACTTTCCCTGGCTGCCAGCTGGCCTTTCCCAATCAGATCTCACTGCAGCCCCCTTTCACGTTAAAATAAATGTCTTTGGCCAACGTCAGCACAGAGAGTGCTTTCAACAGGATAACAACACACGGCCAAGTGCATTCCATTCGTGACCAGATATGGATTAAGGATGAAATATAATTGACATAGCTGGGGCTCCTAATGACCTTCATATGCCAGTGTCAGTCAGTGACACTAAAGGAAAACCAACCTCCGGCTATAGTGCCACATTCATCTGGAACACATTACTAAATAAAGAAATGGAATGGAGGGTATTATTTGTGACTTAGGAGCCAACTCTGTGGTGGATAACAAAGGTGCCTAAGGCAGGAGAAACAACTACAGTCAAGACCATAGGACTTAAGAGAAGTCTGTGATGTTACAATGGGCACTGCCAATGCTGAAATGAAAAGTTCACATTAGCTTCATGAAATCATGGTCCTGCCTAGAGTAGAATATTGGAAAGGTCCAGCTGGGGTAACTGATCTCTTATTCAACTCACAGTGATTATTCAATACAAGGGAGCTGGGATGCCAAGGGAAGAAGGTCTGTGGTATGGAGTTGGTAACTACAGCAGCACAGGCTGGAAGAACCCTTATCAATGTGGCACTAAGTAATATTGCAGTAGGATATGCCTAACAGAAATAAATCTAAGGCGATGTAGATCTGTGGAAACATTATATATATA